GAGGCTCTTCGACACCCTAGATATATTCTTCGTTGGAGAGTTGATGCTAGTTTGTTAGGTGGAGGGATACATGAGTTCTGTACTCCTGATTTGAGCAATGTAACGTGGCCTACGGTTTCGTATGATCGAGTTCCTGTTGATGATGATTGGGAACAACATTATCCATTTGGTTTGAGATTTAGTAATGCTTATCTGCAGTAAGATTTGTCCTGGACCCATTTTGATTTTGTTTTTGAGACTTATTGTAGAAAATTGTTCTTGTTTTCTCTAATTGTTGTGATTCGTTTTTCAAATTTTTATTATTATCTTTGATATATTTACGTAGTTCTTGCTGCAATTGAAAACTTTTTTAATCTCATTTTTTGTAGGTCTGAATCATATCGATCAAGTATCTGGAAGGTGTTGCTAAGTGTTTGAACTTGGTTCAAAAGGTTTGTGAGAAGATGATGAATCATAATAACAACAACAACTTCAACAACCCCTTCAACACGGCTGGAGGGGTCAAGCGGGCAGCTGATGATCTCATGGATCAACTGTCTCCAGAGATGAAGCGGCAACTTCTCCAGTCCTTGATGAATAGTGCGACTGCGAACAATACTCCAGTGTTCACACCTGAACAGGGTGGGATTGTTGAGACACCTGGAACAGAAGAAGTAGTAGAAACACCAGGCGAAGCTGAGCACGTAGGAGAAGAAGGTGACGAACAGATCGATCCTGACCTTCTCAGATTGGTAGAAGGTGATCATGAGGAGGTTGGAGATAGTGGAGGTGATGCACAGAGTCTAGCTGTTAGCATCCCAAACGAAATCGTGGCACCAGTAGGACGCTTGGAGTGTACTTTTCGCGCGGGTGAGAAAGTGGAGGAGGTATATTATTAAAAAGAGTATCTGGGATCGATTAATGTGGTATCTATAGTCATTGTCTCGTCTTTTAGTCCTGTGGAGCTGATGAGTAGGATTTTAATTTCTCTATAATATACTTTATCACTCACAGTGGGTGAAACGTCGATTCCTGGAACTGCGAGCAGAAGGAAGTATTAAATTGGAAGGCTTCAGAGCTCAGCGCGTTGTAGGTGAGTTTAAGGATTGGCCTGGGCTTGCTGATAACGTGGATATGGAGTATGATTTCTGCGTGTTGTATCGGCAAGAAATCGACAAGCAACGCGTTAGGTATTTTTTAGATTCCTTGAGAAACCGATTTGTTTTTATAAAAAGAATTAATTGAGTGCTATACTATTTTTTCACTTTCTCTTCTATCTAAACGCAGGTACATGCGTGATAATGGTTTTGCGTCAGACTACGAAATCAAAGTACCGCATACGAGAGCACACGACGATAAGCAAGAGTTTTTGGATCACAGTGGAACAGTGGTAATTTTTTTTCTCCTAGAGAAGGTTCATTTTTATGCATTTGAAGATGGAGTTATTGTTCATGGTTGTCCTTGGTGTAACACAATAAAAAAAAATAACAGCGTGCTGGAATAGCGAAGCTGTTGATAAAGAGCAGATTCATCAACGAGAATAAGGAAGTCTTTGGTCTTCTGGAGAAGCAAGACTACAAGAATATCACTGTGACTCTGAACATGGTTTTGCTCGATCAGCGACCGTTCTTCCAGCGCGATGATCATAGGGGGAAGTGTGATCGCAGCTTCAATCGAAATGGTCACATAACCTATCATTATGGTGCGTTCTCATAGGTGCATTAGAGTATACATCTATGAGGATTTCTTTTGTGTTCTTCTAATACTAATCGCTGGCAAATATGATTTGTCAAACGTTGGTGAAGATGGAGAAGAAGCTTGTCGTCTCGGCATTCTTGGTGGCACAACTGTACTTACAACCTTTCAAAGTGGTCAAACGTATTGAGGATTGGCGCTATGGTATATGGGTTTCCTTATGTTTTGTTAGCTGAAGATGAGCACCTTGTTGCTCTAGGTTATTGAACTGTTAGAGAAATTAACTTTGATTCTTCATTCTACCTCTCGTCTCTCAGGTAAGGGGTATGATGACGATATACTTTAACTAGTTTCGCTTCGTGAGAGCTTGTGGTGACACGCGTAGGAGCCGAACCAATGAAGGTGAAGCGACGAAAAGTTTGAACCAGTAGCATACAGCAGAACCAGAAGGGTTGGAATTGGTGATGCTGCGGTGGGCTGAACCTTTTTGGGTGAAGTACTGAAGACTCCGATTCTAGATAAAGTGAATGAAATCCTAGATAAGTATCTTCGTACGTAGTACAATTAATTGTAGAATTAGATAAAAATTTGAACGACAATGAAATTGAATCTCTATACTTCTTCGTTCTTTAAATGTCAGAATTATAAAAAGTGTTGTCATCAAGAATTATTTTCAAAGCATCAAACAAATTATGAATTTATTAAATTTCTCTTTCATCAATGTTAGGAGTAGTTTGTTTTCATCCATGCATTTGATATTGCTACTTGTGGAAGATGTTTACATTTCAAATGTTGATCTATGTTCGTGAGATGATATTAGAGAGATTTAAAATGATAAAAGTATTGCCATTGAATCTATTGGACACGCATTTGAAAAAAAACAGTCTGACATGAAAACTTCTGTCGCGAGAAGGAAGACGAGAGACATGAAAGAGATGTGAGTATGAACTTGGCAGATATGTACAAGCAGAATCCATAAAAACCAATTTCTTCTCAGTGCCAGCAGGAAGCGTGCTTGTGAGTTTTTCCCTGGTTTTCCCCAAGAGAGAAAAGGTTTGTTTTTCTAGGAGAGAAGGCACCTCTTATTATCGGCTTCAAACGTCAAAGAAAAAGGAAGAAGCGTCACAAAACGGCGAAGACCTAAAATTATGAACATTTGACTTTTTTCTATGGCTGGGTATTATTGATTATCTAATTAAAAAATGCTCGTGACACATAGCAAAACGAATAGGTTTTTTGATTATGATATGGGACATCCCTACGGGGTCCCAAATTATACAGAGGACCATCTCATGGGCATGAGTCTGGAGAAGCTGCTTGCCCTACAGACGGAAATGCGTAATGTAGTCCGTGGATTAACACATGACTACATTGGATCTGGAGGATCGCTCGAGGAGGACGAATTGGAGGAGCTTGATGCTCTCTGTAAGGATGAAGACTCTGAAGAAGAATTGGAGGAGGATGCTTTCTTGTTAGGAACGGACAAGCGACCTTCAGCTGCGTACAAGACGACGAGTAAGCTTAGAGGCAAGGAGCTGCAACTTATAAAGGAGTCTTCTAGTAAAAAAGCCTACAATCGTTCCAGGGTACGAATTTCTTCTCCAGGAGGAAAACAAATCCCGGTGCGCATAGAGGTTGAGAAATATATTGCAGATGAAATTCGGAAGCGAATCTCAGGAGGCTTCGTACCATTAACACCGCAGAAAATTCAGCTGCTTTTTGTGAAATTGATGCGGTTGAACGGCTGCAGTTCTTACTATGGGGTGAAGGACGGAGTGGGAAGCAAAGCAGCTTACTCCTGGCTGAGTGCATTCATGAACAGGCATAGCCTCCAGATTACGCAGCGAATTCATACAATTAGCTCTCGGAATGATGTGGAAATGAGGAGGGAGATTTTCACGACTTGGGGAAGATGGTATCGACTGATGGAGCTTGTGGGGAATCGCATGAACATCCTGAAGCGTGACCATCCGAATACTCCAGTATATTTTATTCGTCTTAATATCGACGAAACCTTCATGAGGCGCCATGTGGAGGCAAGGAGTTGTGTGGTGCCTGCTGGTCAGACTCGTCGTCTGAATCGTTCATGGCATGGAGCAAAAAAGACCACGAAGGAGGGAGTGAGTTTCGTTCTTGTCATTAGCGATTCACCTGATTTCACTTTTCGTTCAACGATTGTAGCAGGCGAGAAGCATCCGCCACTGGGTGAGAAGGAAGCTATTCGCGATATTTGGACGCCTCGCTTCTATTTCGAAAGCGAAGGAAATTCGAAAGGAAATCACGTTGTGGACCAGATCATGTGGAAACGAATAATGTCACGCATCGTCAAAGAAAAGCGTCAGTATGAATCTCGAGAAGGTGTGAAGCTTGTTCTTGCGGTCATATACGATGCAGCTCCAGTGCATTATTTAGATGATGACTGGAGGGAGTCGAATTTGGAAGATGAACACGATATCTATACATTCATGCTCCAGGCTGAATGTGGTTCCTACGTGCAGCCTTTGGATTGTGCAGGCATCATCAGCAGCATCAAGGAAGGGCAAGCAGCAGTGGAGCAATATAATGCTTTGACCTCAGCAGCTTTTTGCTCGTTCGTTCTTCGTACACTGGAGCTTCACGCGCACGAGCGAACATTTGATGCTTTTGGTTTCGTGCATCACATTGGGATGATGCGACCACTTCAATCGGAGCTGCGTCGTTTTCTATTAGATCTTCAATAACTAAATACCCAGCCTTAGAAAATTATCTTATATCTAATATGATGAACGCAACTACTACCGCCAAAGGAGCTGCGCAGAAGGAGAAGCGACAAGCATCAAGCTCCAGCTCTAAGGTGAAAGGAGCATCGAAAAAGTTGCGGATCGAAGAGTCTGCGTCTGAACATGAAGCTGCAACTACTAAAAAGGGAGCTTCAAACGTCTCGTCTAGTCTTGGTCTCTTGGTTGGTAAAGAAGATGAAGAGGATCCTGCACAATTTTCTGTACTGCAAAATAAGAACAAGGAGATAGAGAAGCAAATCGATGAAGAGCACGCAGCTGCTCTCGAGCGTGCGAAAGAGTTGCTTAAGGAAGCTGGCATGATGCCAAGTGAAGAAGCAAAGAAGAAAAAGCAGACAAGAGCTAAGAGTCAAACTGAGTTAGAAGTCGCTGACATCCAGCGGCGTGCTCGCATTGGAAAAAGGGTTTTGAAGCTACAGAAAAAGTCTGAGAGTATGGTCAACAAACTCGAAGAAAATCGAGCTGCAATGCGAGATTCTGCAATAGCCAATCAATATGGTGCTCCAGGAGTGATTGTTCGTACGAATGCTGGTTCAGTCGAAGATTTGGATCAAGATTTGGATCCTTCAGGTGTTGAGGATTCTCGCTCGATCATGTTCGCGCCTAAAGAAATTTCATCGAAAGGTAATGCTTTACTTTATTAGAATACGTCATCACTCATTTTGCAGGATTTAGATTTGAGTTGTCCTATTAGTATGTAGTTCTTTTGCTGTTCCACTATAAGTGGCATAAGTACATAGTTTCGGTCTACATATGAATCACACATAATCAAAAAATGAACGTTCTTGTCGAGTGCGAGCACTGTCTCGATTTCTTCAGCAAGCGAGGCATTCACGTTCATCAGCGACACTGTAAACATAAAAACAAAGACGCAGCACACGACAAAGAGACACCAAACGAGGAGAAATGTAGGATAGACTTAGTGTATCATTTTTAGTAGTTTGAGATGCATTATCCTGCTCTTATGATAAACTTTTCCTAGTTCATAATTTATAGCATTTCTCTCATGCTATTTGGAAATATTCTCTATATGTAGCTTGCCCAAACCATCCCAGAAGAAGTCAATCAGAGGTCTTCTGGGATGATTTGGAGCAAGCAAATGAGAATTCTGATAGCTATATGAAGTCTGTAAAGAAAGAGAATATTATTAACTTGGTAGGAGTACCCCTACCAT